ATTAGGGCTAACAACTGGTTTACTGAAACCAGTCATATTGGCTGATGAATTTTGGCATAAGATCTTTGGGAATAGCCTCTACCAGGCTTCGGGAGTAGAAATCGGCCAAATAGACAGATAGCATGCCGACTCCCCTGAAATATAGCATGCCAGGGGAGTTGGCATGCTATCTGTCTATTTGGCCGATTTCTACTCTTTTTTTTATTTTTTTATTTTTTTAATAAATCATTCTTTTTATTGTTTCCAAAATTCACACAAAAGAAAGCATGGCACACCTTAAGATCATCCATCCCAACAGTAATAGTCACCGAATTCTAGCCTCTACCAGGCTTCGTGAGGTGGCTGGAAAGAGTAGAAATTGTCCAGATAGAGAGATAACATGCCAAGGAAGTTGGTCCGCTAGAGAGTACAGTTTTCCGCACCCGAAATGTACTGTCTAGCCGACAACCCCCCCTGGTATGTTAACTGGCTTTCTGGCCAATTTTTACTCTACCCAGCCGCTTCCCGGAGCCTGGTAGAGGCTACCCGAGGTCTACCCTGACGCGACGCGAACCGAATCATCCTGACGACTTCCGCCGCTCGCCGCCGCCCGCCGGACGCCAGGTTTTAATTCCGTTCCGGTGTGCTGATTCTGTGAAAGCTCCATCCATCACATGAAATCAAGCGATCATTCGCTCCTCAATCAATTCTAATTAATAGGGGCTGTCCGAACCGTTTGTCATGGCGAACCCTCTGCGGTCTGTTAAACAATATCATACAGCAGCTTCGGCTAAAAGTCCTTCCAAATGTGGGCACGCTGATGGAATACATAATTATACCACATGCATGGACATAGATTATTATGCCACGTCGTTCATAGATTATTATCGTTGTTACCATTAATGCAATTGGTATGGATTTGATCTTAGATATTTCAAATACCAAATCATAACAGCAGGATGAATAGATAATAAACTGGCATTGTAACTAAGCAATGAACCAGTAGTCTTTCGGATAGAGTGCACGTACTTGGACATCCGATTGCCTATTGGATGTTTTTATACCCATCAGGAAATATAAGAACATATCTTAGGTTTGTACGTTTCAATCTAGATGGTATTACGGTTCAATCTCGTTTACTTCTTACGACAAGCAATATAGCATCAATGCAGGATATATGTCTGTCTGAAACATCGGCCGCTATTTGTTTATAGATGCATGTCAAAAGTTCAATCCATTCGGTGAATTTATGAAGAGTCATATCTTGATATTAGTATCGACAAGAACATAGAGATAGGCCCATCTCGAAGATAAAACAGCTACATGTATGTAGCGCAGGGGTTTTAAGGTGTCTGTTTCAAATTGACGTCAGAGCACCAGATTTAGCATTTGATGGAGCCGGGCCCTAATGGGCTTCTGTACACACAGGCAGCAAGATTTAAAAACTAAAAGTCACTCATGCCGATCAACATGCGTCATGCGGGGATGGTTCTTTCTGTAGGAGCAGTTTCGTCTCCCGATGATAGTTGAACGTACACGTAACTATGACGCGGGTAAAAAGTCAGAATGAACTTTGAACTTTATCAATTATACTACGTTGCAGACTTATACTAACATACATAGTAGCTTAAATTGTGTCGCATTTTTATGTACAACAGTTTGTAAATTATTATCAGAAAGTGAAGGAAAGAAAAATGGCTGATCTAGACCGTTATTTACAATAGTGTAGATTTACGTACTGACTGTATCTCTGGTAGGTCAACAAAAGGTAAAAATCCATAGCTTGTGTTACACAATCTCTCGCTCTCCGAGAATCTGTGACCATACATCTCTAACTCGAAAGAGCCAATCCCATTCCAAGAACTACCAATAGGACCTCGGGGTTCTTTATCACTTTCAACATCAGCCCAATAGGAGCTCAGGATTCTCTAGCCTGTCAATCAACAGTTTCCAATTCTCCTGACTTAAGAGATGTTCATCAAACTTGTAGACCTGACCAGCGGGAGGGCTGTTAGAAGACTGATGTAGTCAGGCTACTTTACTTACATGCAGTTCTTACTCTTGACCGAGTGGAATAAATCACCCCGTCCCCTGCTGCCCTTCAGACTTTGGGGAACGATTTGGTGGGAAAGTAATCAGACTAAGGCGAGGTTTGGATGGTTTGTGTGACCTGTGCGCGCCGCTGAACATCAGGTTCAACTCCAGGGGCAGCGACAAACGTCATGGCAATCATTTCAACTGTTTGAACTCATCTTCAAGCAGATGTAAGTGTTCAACGTAGTGTTTTACGGGTATTTTTGCAACATTTTATGAGTCTACAAGTTTTACACATTTGTAACTCGTCATAGGAAAACGACTTAGAGAGTACAATTATACTAGAAATACGTAACTTTTAAACTGATTATAGATTACAAATACTCCTGAGTGTCACTGTTATTCAAATAAGAATATAGAATACTAGTAATACGAATACAGTACTATAAATACAAAATAAACTGTGAGGAAAATACTGAAGTAGAGGATGTCTCATTGACGGCTTGATTAACAACAAAAAAAATGCAAAACATTATTATTACAGTCCAAACAGAGGTTTAGGCTTCGGTCCATTTTTGACATGTTTTAGGCGTTTTTATCGAACTTTTCTGTTTGTTCTGGTATGTTGTTATTTCGCCATCATCGCCATTGTAGCTGAGGTCACTTTTGATTACACGGAGATAGTGTGAAAAGCTTAATATAAACTTTATGCACATCAGTTGTAGTTTAATAGTTTGATAGCGTTTCGTCCTAGGCCAACGGCTTATACCTCTTCTCAGAAAGAGCAGCTCTCTTCTAGTGATTTGTGGTGACCTCGGGAAATCACGGTGTGCACCTCATCATTGAGGAAGTGTAGTGGTATGAATAACTCATGCCGTACATACATGTACGTGTATCAGGGCACGTAAATTTTCTCTGACTTTAGCTAACCAGGTCTCTATAATACTATAATCTCCATGTTCATGCAAATCGATACGAGTACTTTTGGGGCAATCTACGAGGGTCATTGCACCATGGAGGTCATAGCATCAAATTCGGCAAAGCAAAAATAAAATCAATACAAATAAACTGCAGTAAAACAATACCCTTTGTAAGGTAAGGCCTAATCGAATTTTTTACTCTGGGTAGCGGCAACTGAAAACGAAATCATGGTCCGCGCGCTGTATTTCACAGGGAAGGTGAAAAAAACACATAGAAATTAATTTCTGTCTCTCTTGTCAACAATGAAACGTAAAATAACATAACAGAGGAGCACCCAAAACTAGCATATACCGTTGCCAACAATAAAGCAGAAGTTGACAAATTGTCCAAGGCTAAAACGGTTAGGCATACTTCTAATAACAATATTATTGTCTTTTGCTCTAGACTAATCTTACTGCTGCAGTAATATCGTGCGTAAACGGGTTACTAGGTCAATCAATCGAACCATAAATGATTCCGGAACGACATCCTTGTTTGTCTTCATCTGTTGTTGATGGCATTCTGAGCGCAGACTGGCTTGAATTGCTTTTTTATGCTGCGGTTGGTACATATAAGCGATCACGTTGATCACTGTTTTGCCATGTAAAGAATGCCTTTGTGCTATTAAAAACATCTTGCGGTCTCCAGCCCAGATGTCAAGTCGTTACGTTAGTTTTCAATTGTCTCAGAGGAGACGCTACATTTCCAAAAACACTCCCATAGTCTTGGAAATGAAAGGTAGGACCTATCAACATTTCAGGTGACGTATGGAAACATGGTATCTAAGATGAGGAAAGGACATGTCTTTTCCATTCTTGGATCAAAGTTGAGTTCAAAGACTTAATCTGTAAGAAAATTTGCCTTTCTTCTTGAGCTATAAACCTGCCGTTGGGATACAGTCATTGTTTTGATTTGTCGAAATTAGGATGATTCCCATGCGCTTCAACATGATATATACTTATATTTAACCTTCAATCAGATATTTAGGTGGCTGCAAGACAGTATCACACTGGCAAGACATGCGCAGTATCAAATTGGCCAGGCAGTATCAAACTGGCCGGGCAGTAGAATAAAAGATAGCCCGATAAAAGCGCCTAATGCACGTCAAAAATAAGCCTAAGCCTAAACCTCTGCTTGTAGAGTGTTGTACAGAAGACCTCCTACAAACATGCCCTATGCAGAGCAGCTGAGCGGGAATTGGAGCCGCACGGTCCAGCGCACCCTCCCAGGCCGTAACCGCGGGAATTATCGATCGAAACCCCGCTCGAAGAATGACATCTTTATCGGGAGAAATCCTCGTAACAACATGTGGCCCAAACTGGACTGAAGCGGATGTTGTTTTGATGTGGACTGATCAGAACGTACGTTGACGTTCAGGCTCTTTTTCTCTAGTCTAGCTGCGTTGATTCCTCATATTCTACACTAGACCTAAATCCTAATGGGGTTAGGGTAGTAGAATTCGGCAGACATAGGGTCTGACTGGCCGGGAGAGTGGGTCCACCGCTAGGGTTTCTTTTCCCCCTGTGAAGATATCTGCGTGGGCAAATGAACTCTACGGTACTGGCAAAACTCCCCTGGCCAATTATTCTCCTTATTTGGCTAAATTCCACTGTTACTGAACCAGTCGTGTTAGTCTGCTGGAGACTAGATTCATTAGGACTACTCATTATTATTGGCGCTTGTCGATAAAAACAACAATTAAGGTAGCTCATCATTCTCATGGTCCGTATGAAAGGAGTAATTACCGAACGCCTTACGGTGACCCAAGGCACAAAACCAAACAAGATATACACAAAATAAAGGAAATGTCAAACGGTGACGATCATGGATTCAGGCAGTTACATATGGACGCACGTATGTTTTTATATAACTGCACTACTGAAGGCACATATACCCGTACGATCGTCAATGCTGCCCCGTGGAACACCTGATAAAAAGAACGACAAAACGTTTCTTCCCGACGGATTTACCATATCAAGTCGCCTCAAGATACATTCCGATAAGTAAATACGATAAGACGCGCTTACCAGCTTAAGAAATGAAGAAATCGGTCCCAGCCCGCCTTGTAGAAATCCGAAAGCTTGAAGGCTTGTTGTCAGAACCCAGAGACGTCTCCACCATATTTTTGAGCAGGTGTCTGTGTGTCCATGAGACGGCGGTGGGCGGGAGTGGATGAGAGGTTTTACCGGGAAGGCGCGCTGCGTACTGTCCCAGAAACTCGTTCCACGTCCGATACCTGTGCTGACGTCGCGCGGACACACCTGCGGCAGCGCCCTCTGTACGAACCACGCACTCACCGGCTGTACTCAGGCACCACGTGATCACAGACTGCCTCCATCATTCACTCAATATTCATGCACAGATTCTCCTCCTCTCACGGCTGAGTCTAGCATGCAGCCTCCATCAGACCTTCCTACCGGGGTACGGATTGTAGAATTCGCAATAATTGACCAGGAGAGTCAGTCAATTTTCCCCTCCTAATAGACTCTAAGCTCCTCTCGCCGATTCTTCTCCCTATTTGACTAAAGTTTGCTGTTTTTGAAACTGCGTTGTTAGTTATTTGGAGACTATGTATATACAATTTTATGACGATATCAGAAACCAATTATTTATTATTTACCATCGTTTCCAAAATACACCCTTGCTCCCCCTCTATTTCTAACCATGAGAAAACAATTTTACGACTAAAATCAAAGACCCAAATATCGTGGAAGAAAAGAAGAAGTCAAACCTAGCAAAACTTGTACCGTGTATGTTGTTGACTGTAGTATAAAATAGCGTTGTCCCTTATGTATTTTCTTTTACACGTTGTGTGTACTTGCAATTAGCCCTGGGGCATGTATTTGCTGTAAACTCTATCTATCTATATACACACGGAGACAAATCAACTACCTTCCAACAATGACAAATATTGTGTCTTATCAGCAAAAAGGGCACATGAAATATTTATAGTGTTTTGCGCCGTGCTAGCGTATCGCAGCAAGATACAATGTTTTATTTAGTTCGACCTAAAAAGAATACGATTGATAAAAAAAAATCAATCTATTTGGTGCGGCGCTGTTTTTGACCAGTAAGGTTTGACCTGGTTTAAAATTGCAGGCAGGATGACTGGGGTACTCATTAACTAGCTTCTATTATTCTTTCCAATTAATTGGCATTATGGTTATGAAAATTCATAGGAAGATTACTCATTGCAAGCACGTAGTAAGATAGCCCGTGCATAGACTGTACCTCATCACCTTCACTTAGCTTGTCTTGCCTACATTACAGGTTATTTCATTGGCTTGTGAAAAACCTTGTGAAAACGATGGTATGTGGAAACTATTGTATCCGTGTATCCAGAACCGTGCCTATCTAGTTTCAATGCCTGAATGGGTCAGGGTTAGGATCACATACGGTTCTGGATAGCCTCCGCGTATTCAAGAACGTAGATTTCTCCGGGCACGAATCGTGATACGCATGAGCTATCCAGAACCGCCTGAGTATGGTTCTGGATAAAGCACAGTTCTTGATACACGTGAACTATCCAGAACCGAACCGAACCCGAGTATGGTTCTGGATATGCGCGGATTATCCAGAACCGTGTCTGAGCATGGTTCTGGATGAAGCACGATTCTGGATAGCACTCCGACGTGCTTGCGCACCATCAGCACCCTGTGAGTAACGGCTTAAAAAGAGTTCTGGCCAATAGACTTCACCAATCCGATTTAGAAGGATCGTCGTGCATATATATAGCGCTCAGACAAATAACCTTGGGGAGGCCATTACCTACAAATCGCTCTGACATTTTACCGCGTCCCGCGTTGACTCCCCTTCCATTTGGCGTTCAGAACAAGTCTGGGGACACTGAAATATTCTGCGCGTGACCTCTTTTCAGGTGAAACATGGAAATGAACAAACCATGTGTATCTAAGAACGTGCTAGCCTGGTTACCAAACCTAATGTAGTCGCCGAATCTCTTTCGTCCTCTCCACAACTAGTTATCATTAGTTATTATTAATAATTATTGATTGCGGAGAGAACAAAATAGAGACTCAGTTGAGTTTAGTACTTACTTAATAGCTTTGGTTAGAGCGTACAGTAAATGCACGTAACATAATCAAGCTATGTGTCCTTGGTCCTTTTACCAATAACAGTTCCCACGTACGCTTGAAGCCACTCTTTTCTGTGACTTGTCGATGAACTATAGCCTAATTCTGCCAAATTGTCCCCCCTGGGCGATAGTCGAGTAGATTAAATGGACAAAGTACTTTTCTTTCCATCTGACACCGGCTATGATGGCAGGGGGAACAACATGTATAACGCCATTTCTGTCAGCAATCCAGATTTGCAATCAACGACTCACCAATAAAACGTCTTGATCTTTGTAGCTCGCACGGAATGAGATTTGATCTGATCGCCCTTCTCTTTAATTTACACTTCAGGACCCCGAAGATTGCTTGGGTGTCTCCGTTCTGTCCGTATATTTCTCCCGCGTGCTATCTCTTCAGGTCCAATGAAAGCAATACTGTTTTTTACGAGGGCTAATAGCACGTGTAATTTTCCCCCAAAGCCTGCTAACTGATACGGCTTTATTGATGCTTGTGTAGTTGCCGTCAGATATACGATTAAAGGAGAAGAAGAAACTACAGGATCGTGCCTTTGGGCAGGTGAAGTTAGTTAGATCTAAGAGAGATGTAACGTTATGTGAAAAACACGCCTATTGTCGTAACAGTGATCAGTAGGCTTTTAGTTCAAAGGTGCATTATACTCAAACATTTTAAGTGCAAAACCTGTGATTGTAATATAATGTCACTTTTCAACATATTTGTGCAATTATCTCACATTTTCTGATATGCATGGTTGGCGCTAAAACAGTACGAGTCACACTCAGTTTGTGGTGCCACCACAAACTACCAGAATGTAAACAAACATTGCGGACAGCTATGTTTTCAACCTCGTAGGGTAATAAGAGGCCATATTTTGTCAATGTAGCAACTTGAAGGCTGATTCAACTTACTTTATAAGAAAATGACCCGAAAATTACATTTTTTTTTATTGTCCTGCTGTTACATAATGTAGCTTTAACGCTTCTTTATCACAAAATGGTCCATTTCACTGGGGGGGGGATTTATTTCAACAGATACTATTCATATTAATTGCATGTAATCAGGATGTAAACTTCATCAATACTGACTGGAAAGAAACGATTAATGTGGTGGTATCTTGACCCTTGTGTTCCTTGATCAAAGTTTGTCTGCCATAAACGGGAACCGTTTGTGTCGCTCTAAAGAATTCATCAAGTAGATTGGTAATAATAAGGACGATGGCTAACAAAAGGAATTACGTTAATTGGTCTGTACTCTTTCAGAAGAGGCCTGGTCTAATATTCATGGCTACATAATCCTCCAGTGTGCCTCCCTACGGACGTTAACTATCCGTGTGCCTCCTGTAACTACTTGATGTATTACCGGCTGTTAAGAAACTGCTACGAGTCAGGATAAGGGAAAACGGGCACAGAGAAAGGTCAGTCTTAATTGTCCTGCTGGGTCCATATATATATTTATGGGCTGCACATACAGTGCTGCCCATATTGGGCCCTGTATATGTATGATGGGGGGGGGGGGTCTGACATGAACACCGCCACACAGCAGCAAAACCAAGTAACTACGCCACAGCAGTACAAAAGAAGTCAAGGGTGTATGGCCTGATTAAGAAAATCAAATTACTGAAAAATATTAAATGTGCAATAAAATGTGCAAAGATTGGGTGTAACAGGTCTGTCGGTGTAATATATCTAGCTGCCACCGGTCGCCCTGGTGTGTTATGTGGGTGGTTATGCCGGTTATACAGATACAGATACTGTGTAGAAACGCCAGCAGGACAGTTCATGGTACGAAAGTTCTTAAGGGATAAACAAACAGAAACAATGTTTACTACTAGAATTCCGAGATCTCATACCTCCATGAAATATGATCTTGATATGTAAATGTTAATTTCTTCTTTAATTGTGCAAATGACCTCTGCATTAACATGATATATGCATCGTGATGTATGTTAACTTTTGATTAACTTACAGATGTCCCAAGTATGACATTCTCATCATTCACCATTACGAAATCATAGAATTTTCGCATTAATTATGCAAATTAGGTCATCATTTGCATAATTAGTATCTGTTGAAGTTCCGCCTGCCATAGGTTACATACATTACATGTATGTAAGTAGTATAATGTAAAACACTGTAATTATAGAATTTCCTCATTAATTATGCAAATTAAGTCCTCATTTGCATAATTTGCATTTAATTATGTACATCTCTCGCTCAGCTAAATACACACCAAAAATAATGAAAATATGTTGTTCCTGTCTGGACTTATTGGCTTTTAAACATTTCGCCAGAAAGTGCCCTGCAGTTCCAGAACAAGCCGCTAGGGGGCCCAAACTCATATGACTTCTTCCCAAGCACGAGAGCTACCTTCCATCAAAATTTCATGACCCTAGCATGTCCAGATCGCGAGATATCAAAACCGGAAGTTGCGCTGCAGTACCAAGGGAAGCCACTAGGGGGACCAAAATCTAATCATTTCCAGTTTTCGTCACACCCTACCAACACACCAAGTATGAAACCAATCCATCCAGGCGTTCTTGAGTTATCTTGTTGACCAACAGACGGACAGACGGACAGACAGACGGACGGACAGATAAACGCAACTGAAAATATAACCTCCATGACACATTTCATGGAGGTAACTAGTGGTTAAAACACTATTGGTTTTCCTGCAACAAAACAAACCTAGAGCGAAAGTTCACGCGTATATCCAGAACCATGCTTCTTGCAAAATATACGTTTTTGGATTCACGGAGAATATCCATAACCGTACGTACCTGATCCTGGGCAATATATATTCAAGGTTCTGGATACGATAGACCCATATAATGGGACGTCCACTCAATCCACAGGCGTGATTATGAGGCAGTGATAAAACTGGTGACGGCAGCGGTCATGGACAATGCTTTAAACATGTCAAACCGGCTTCCAGGTAATATACAATGTACATGTACTATATGCGATCATCTAACCATCGGATGCATCATCCAAGGTACTTACTAAGCATTTGACGTGCCCTGAGGTAGCTTGGTATAACCGGTCAATGACATCTACTCCAGAGTGCTTCTTTATACGTGTGTATGCGTTCTTCATACAGATTAAAAGAAGCTTTACTGCACCGTGGAAAAATTGAGTTGGTGTTACCCTTTTGCTGCAAGTAGAGGCACAACACATCTA